GTGTCCGGCAACGGATCGCAACCCTCAGTGTCGCCTCCGTACCGGACCAGGACCGGCAACGGGATCGCAACCCTCGGTGTTGCCCCCGCGCCTCGCTCAGCCAGTGAGCGGGAACCGGTCTGTATGTGGGATCCGAACCCTCAGCGGGAGCGCCTCTGCGCTTCCCAAGCGGCGCACTAGCGCAGTGCGCCACCGGGCCGGCCCCGGTCATCTTTTTTTTAAAAAAAAAGATTCTCAGAGGAGTTGCTCCAAGATGATTGACTAGTCTGCACTGGGACTAGTAACTTAAAGGTTCTTAAAACCATATATTTGCAGATACCACCAGGAGTCTTCCAGTAATTTTTACCTCAGATTTCATCCAAAAGGTTTGCCTTTAAGTGAAACTGGATTGTAAAAAAGGACCCTGGGTACCTCTTTGATGAAGCATCAACTTGATTAAGGGATCTTTCTATTGAATTCCAGTTTGAAACAATAATAGGATTCAGGATACTGTTTTTGGCTGTAGTCTTTGGTCTGCCACATCAGAAACTTGAAAGTACTTAAGTTGGAAAGTCACCATCCCTAATTACAATCTTCCTTAAAGGCCCCCATAAAATGTGACTGAAAGTCAGATCCATAACAACTATTAGGTTCTTCGTGGATGCAAAGCACCGTAAATCCACCAGGAGAAAAGACCTGCCTTAAAAGTGATGACTGAAATAGACTGATAATAACACTAATACCAGCACAGAGTAGTGGCTCTATTCTGGATTTTAATGGCCACCAAAGCCTGTTTTGCTGTGGCCTGTCCCCTCTCCACCGTCCTCTTAGAAGCGTTGCTGGCTTCCCCAGGATGGAAACTTGCCCCTGGGTCCCAGCCTCCCTCTCATGGACCCCAGTGGTCTGAATTTCCTCCACCCCCAACCCGGGCCAGGTTCCCGGCGCGTCTGCGCCTTCGCGGTCCACATCCCACCGCACTCTAGAGGGAGCCCGCGGGCCACGCATCCACCGCGGATTGGTTTTCTGAAGAGGCCGCCATCCCCGCGGACCTCGTCCAACACCTGCAGGGCCAGCCCCCAGCCAATGGGGTGCCTCAGAAAACAAGGCCTCGTGTGCCTTCACTGTATTCAAGAGCTCCTCCCCCGCCGCCCCCCAGCCAGACACGTGTGTGCGCCCGGGTGTCACCCAGCTGGGACCCTCCCTTCCTAGGAAAGCCTGGCTGCTGGGCTCCCAAAGTTCCCGGGCCAGAACCCGGTCCTGTTCGCGACCTCAGGCCTAGACCGCCGGACGTCCCCTCAGTCGCCACCCGGACCGGCTCTAGGCAAAACCCGGAGTGGCGGTCTCTCGGCAGCTCTCGGGAGACGGCGTGGCGCGGCGGGCTGAGCATGCGCAGTGCGCAGGGCCGGCTCTCAGTTCAAGCAGGAAGCGTTCGCGGTGATCCCGGCGGCTGCGCTGGGGTATGCGGTACCGGCTTGCGTGGCTACTTTACCGCGCGCTGCCCGGCGCCTTCCGCTCCGTCCTCGGCGTCCGCCTGCGGCCGCCGGAGCGCTTCTGTGGGTAAGCGGAGAGGAGCACCCGGGCCCTCGGGGCCCGCGGGTCACGGTGGTTTGGCGCTAGGGTTGCAAAGTGGTGATTCAGCACTTAAAGCCGCCGCTGCCGCCCCTCACGCCGCTCGTCCCGCCGGCCTAGGACCGGAACGACCGCTCTGAGGCCGCGCCAGGGCCCAGAGGGCGACTCGCCGGGCGGTAGCTAGGGGCCTGGGCCGGAGTGGAGGCCGTCCTCTGGACCGGTGAGGGCGGACGGGCGCCGTGATCAGGGTCTGGCAGCGTGTGTCACAAGTGCGGGGGCGCGCGGCGCGGATGGAGTCACCCCGGCCCGCTCCCGGAGTCGTGCCGCGCTACTCTCGAGGAGTCTGCCTGTGAGGTGCCGGGGACCCGAGGCGGACTCTCGCCGTGGGGTAAAGGAACCCGGCGAGTCCTGGGAGAACGCTTCTCACCCACCTCTCAGCCCTGCTTTTTCCTATGCGGACCGAGTTTCCAGGACTGTGTGGAAATGCCCGCGTTGGGAATTGTAAAAGTTTGCCTGCCTGCCTGCCTCCGCCTTAGTCAGCAGACGAGTGTTGGGTTCCCGGGGTGGAGGGAAAGGGGGGATGGATTTGGGAGCCGAAAGATCCTTTGGGATCTTATACAGCAGCTCCCTTGTTTTACACCTGAGACCACCGAGGCCCGTAGAGATTGTGTGACTTCCCCACAGAGGCGGAGATTGTGGCAAAACCAGGTTCTTGCCGTCCAGTGGCGTGCTCCCCGCCGCTTCACCGCTGCCTCCTGTATACTAGAAACTTTTAGTGTTGAAGCGAACGCTAAATTCTTTTTGCTGTGAATAGAGATAGACACTATTATCTTTCCTTACTTAGATACATTATTTGAATCCCTCCTGGTTTTAATCAGTGATATCTAGGACCTAAGCCCAGGACACTGTGATACATCCTCTGTGTAAATTATGTGGTCTGCCTTTCGAGGAACTTTAACTTGGTTGGAGCGGACTGAGATGTTATATATGAA